CTAGAAGGAACACCTATTAAGGTAGGCTAGGAAGTCCAGGAGGTAAGGCTGTGGCTGACTAGGGGCTGCGGCGTATGCGTGCCTATTTGTACATGTATGTGTGCACGGTCTGTGCAGTCCCTTATATGGTAATGTCTGGTCCCTTAAACCAAGATGAGATTTGGACTAGTAGATACTGTACTGGGCTCTCCTATTAAGCCAAGGTCAGCTCATCCTTTTTGCCTAACATTCAACCCCACCCCCGTTTCTTTTTTATCTCTGTAGATTCCTTAAGTGCTTTCCTTCACATCTTCTCTCCTCAGCTTTGCTACAGGGACTTGAAGCTGACTTGGACAAAGCTCAGCTACATAAGTCCGTCCATCGTATGACTGGCCAGTTGTGGCCCCCCAGCATGTCTCTCTCTCTTGCCTTTCTTCCCCATATGCCCTCTCCAGCCAACTGAGCAGTGGCTCCCAGCCTTCATTTATGTATCTATTTTTGTTTTGGAGTTCTTAAAAGCCTTGGCTCTTTCCTGGAAAATACACATTGATATTATATATATAAATGTCCTCAACTTCAGAGGTTTCTGGTTCACGGATCCCAGTTTAGAGCCCTTCCCTAGAGCAAAGTAGTGCATGGATTGCCACAGTGGATGTATGTTGGAGGAGACGTCGAGCTAACCTCCTTTTATAGATGGGGAAAGGAAAAGCCCCAAAAGGTAAGGTATAGTGATACTGCTTGGTGGTAGCCTGATCCAGAGGGATTGCAGACCTCCAAATTCTGGCTTCTACCTCTGATCAGTAAATGGAACTTGGTCACTTTCCCCTGCAAAAAATTACAAGCTCATCCTTCCCTTTCCAGCCTCCACCTCTCAGTTTAGCTATATAGCTACCTGTCTTTAAGAAGTTTTTCCAGATTAACTGGTAGCAAATGTGGGAAGAAGACTAGCAGCATAGACCTGATGATTTTTTCCAAAGTAACTTCAGGAAAATTTGGGGTTGGCTTCACTTAGGAGTTCTAGAACATTGTTGTTGTTAATTTTTGTTAATGTGTAAGAAGCTGGTGTACATGAGTAGGCAAGGAAGAGTAGTGGGGAGAGAAGGGAGGCCCCAGAAGTAGGAGTGTGTTGACCTCGAAGCTCTGCTACTGTATGACTAAGACAAGGCCTGGGATTAGTCCCTCATCCTTAAGATGCAGATATTCCAGAAGGCTTTCTCTAGACCAGTTTCCAGCTATGAAATGACATAGTTTCATGGCGAATATTCAGTCCTGCATTGGAAAGAATACCTTAATTTTCAGGATGACAGTGCAGCTTCGCGACTCAGAATGTGGACTCCAACAATGGACCGCCTCATTCTGATTCATTGCTCCATTGCTTTTTGTACGTCTTCAGGCAGGTTTCTTGATCACTTTGAATTTCAGCTGGTTCACTTGAGAAAAGGGGGTAAACCAATTAGTACCTGCTTCAGAGCTATTGTATCAAATCGTATTCCTTTGTCAGACATTTAGAAAAACACCTAAACTTCGCCATCCAATGTGGTAACCACTAAAGCTACACGTAACTGGCTAAGGAGCACTTGAAATATGGCTAGTGTGACTGAGGATTCAATAGTCATTGAATAATTGAAGTTATTTAAATTTTAAATACGATATCTCAAGTGGTATAAAGTATTTTTCCATTAAATGTAAGTTTATTGTTTTAGTAGGCTTACATTTCACTTTAAGTTGCATCGTATAAGACAGGGTCAGCAAACTCCCTATAAAAGGCCAGGTAGTGGCTTAAAAGCTTTGCTCCTCCTGTGGCCTATGTTGCAAGCACCAGCTCTGCCACTGTACATGAAGTTGTACATGAAAGCAGACTTGGACGAGAGGTGGACCAAGGAGTGTCATGCTGTTCCAATAAAACTTTATTGACATTGAAATTGGAATTTCACATGTCACCAAATATTTTTGATTTCCCCCCAAACATTCATAAATGTAAAATTCATTTTAAACCCATGAACTATTGCAGAAATGGAAGTGGGATGGATTGGTTCATAAGTATATTCCCAAGATAAATGAATTCATGTCCATCAAAAAATGTTTAGGAGATTTAGTCCTAATGACCTCAACCTGGAGACAAACCAAATGCTCATTACCGGAACATGGTTAAAAAAAATTCAATACTTTCTCAAAAATGGATTACTCCATAGCAATAAAAAGAGTGAACTATGTCAACATACAATGTGTTAGATGATTATCACAGATACAATGTCACAAGGGTAAATGCTGTGTGATTCCATTATATGATGTTCTGTAATGGCAAAGGCAACATATGGATTAAGAAATTAAAACAGGGCCTCCCTGGTGGCACAGGGGTTAAAGTCTCAGCACTTTCAAGCTATCATTGGCTACTGCGCCAGCCACTGCAGCCCGAATTCAGTCCCTGGCCAGGGAGTGACCCACATGGCAAAGCAGACTTCTCCTGTCTCCCCGCTTCTCCCCTCAGCAGTGGATTTCAGTGGATTCTCTTGTCCTGCTCCCCAGTCCTGAATCTGGTGAAGCCCCTCACCCCCGTACCTCAGGCCTACACCCCAGTTCTTGTGTACGTACATAAATAAAAATCTTTAAAAAATTTTAGCGTAGCTATACCACTTACACTTACACATGCATGTGGGTATTGCCATGAGCAATATTAAACAGCAGCAGCCCCCTCAGATGGGACAGGGACTCTGCCAGTTTCGCCTCAGCCTGTTGTCAGGTGCATTTGTTACTACATTTATGCTGGTTATGTTTTAACTCCAAGCATTTCTTGTATCTATGTCTATGTCAACTGGTAAAATACAGGATTTTTTCCTTTCCTTTTTAGAGATCACGTTTAAAATTTAGAGATCAGTGCAGAGGTTTTTAAAAAGGGAGTCATAGTTTCTCTGTGGAAGGGAAAATGACATTTATATTTGATAAACACAGCATTTATTTGTTCAGAGAATACAACCTAAAATGCCATATGAAACAAATTATGCCTTGGGTGGCTGCATTCATTGTCTCCTTGGCCCCGTCAACATTTAATTTGAACTATTCATTTGGTCCTTGTGCGCTAGTGTAGTTCTGCTTGTGGGGCGAGTGTCCAAGTGGCTACTACGAAAGGGCCCGCCTGTGACTATCTGATGCCTGTCACTGGCGCAGGTTACTGGGCTCCTGGTAAAGGTTCACTATTGGTAACTAGGACATTTTACACACTACGGCTTTACTTTTTGGCAACTTGCAACCTTTAAGCTGTGTGTCCGTAATTATTATAAATGAGAAGTGTTCAAGACCACAGAACCACAGAAAGTAGGTGGGAAATAGGATTGTATTTTGTCTTTAGCTATTGGTAGCTTTCCAGGAGAGGTAGATTCTTTTCTTGGGTGAGCAGGTATGAGAAAGCCCAAGCAGAGAAGGAGAATGTTGGGGTGATAATGTCCCCAAGGCTGTTTGGGAGCCCAGTTTAGAGCCTACCATAATGGTCGACGATCATCACACTGTGTGCGCCATTGTTCCCAGAATTATTTGTTGAATGCCGGTAAAACACTGGTCCCGGAGCTTTCAAATGCTGATCATTGACTTTTTCTCTCCCTCAGGTAGTGCTTACAAGGAGAGTCATCCTCTCTTAGGCACATCAGGGTTGTAAATTATTTTACGTGATCTTGTTCCATCTTTTTAGATCCTTTTTGGTGACTAAAGCAAATACCCTCAGAAGAGAACCATAGGATTAGCATACATTTCACTTGCTGAGAATCTAGATTTTCCTTTTGCTCGCCTTTTTTTCATTTGAAGTCCATTCTTGCTTTAAAACATTGAAAATGGCAGCTCCTCTCTTTCGAGAAGAGAATCTTGGTTTAATTTTCCAGATTGGTTATTCTATTTGTGTCTCCGGGGCCCTGGGCTGATTGATCACGCAAGCCTTTGTCATAATGCCACTTCTTTGAATCAAATGTGGACATAGCAACTAAAAATAAACATGATGTGGATAGTAGAGAACTAGAGGCCTTCTTTGCCTGGGGAGCTGGATACTTGCTTGCTGTTGTGAGATAGATGTTAGCTGGCTGTAGCACTGCATTAATCACTGCAAGACAGCTGTGTTTTTGGACCAGAGAACGGATAGAAACGCAAAGGCACACTGAAGAGCATTATCCTGAACAATGGATGCAGATGCGAATCATTAGGCTTAAGCCATAATATTATCCCCATTTTTGGAGTTCTTTGTACTGTGTCATTTGCTATGCTAGAAACTAGAAGTATGCCAAAGCACCATTTGTTTTCAGAATAGCTTTTCAGAAATTTGAAAGATAAATCAATGCACCAGACTGTTGCACTTGAGCTCTGCAGCTTTGGCAGTGTGGCTAATGGTTTTGACAGTAGAATCTGATTGAACATTGGGCCGATTGCTTTTCCTTATTCCATTATGAAAAGACAACTGGTGTTTGAGTGTGAAAATTCCTTAAGGAATCACATAGGGCAATTCTCCCTAGTAAGTTTGCCCTTGGAGTGAGGGGCCTTTCTGTGGAGGGGAGCTCTGCTACAGATGAACTTTGGGGTCTTGGGAACATTACTTGGGTGTCCCACATCTGTAACGGAAAGGCTAGTGAGCCTTAGTGGTGAGGGATGAATGAGTGAATATTTGCAGATCTAAATACAGTGTCTAATATAATAAGCACCGTGTCAGTTTTGCCTGCTACCCTTCGTCAGTTATTACCGTATTCATGCAGTGTCACGTCTTCTTCTCCGAGCTAGATGAAGGGCTAAAGTGGGAGACCGGTCCCAAAGCAAAGTTTGCTCTGCCATGGTTCGGCAGCATTTAACAGTGTTAAATCGGAACACCTTGGTAAAACCATACCAGGGCATTGTAATAGGAGTCCTCATTGTGTCAGAAGAAAAACTTAATCTATTTTTAGTGCTCTGGAATTTTTCCTCAGATATGATTCATCTTTTGACCACTGAGTCCCCTTTTTGCAATTTTAAAATAAAGTCTCACTTGAGCTTCTCTGATTTTTGTCCTAAAGAATTGCCGCTGCCTCGCTTTATGATGTCAAAGAACGATGGTGACATGCGCCTTGGGACCCCAGCTGAGCTGCATGGAAGTAAGGTTCAGATTCCATACTTAACCACAGAAAAAAATGCCTTCATGAGAATGGACGATGAGGACAAACAGGTACAGTCTGATCAGGTGTGTCCAGTTGATTCTGACCAGGACGCCTCACGTAACACATCCTTCTGTGTGCTGTTAAGCTTCCAGCAAATCTCGCCACCTGGGGTACAGTCACAGATTGCAGAGTGAGCCAGCAAATGTTTTCCAAATTCCACATAGGAATTATCAGATGCTGTCCAATGGCCTTTAGCCCCTGCTGTCATGTAGACGCATGTGGGGAGCAAGGCCTGCATGGGCATGCTGAAGTGATTCCTCTCATTTCCACACGACTTCCTTGAAATGTAACTTTGAGTTTTCAAGGTGTCCTTTCCTCCAAAAAGAAGGTGTGAGAAAAGTTTTCTCTGGTTAAATGTGTTTGGAGAAAGTAGCTTCCTACCTTCTTCTTGGGGAAGGAGCCTGCCCTCTGTCGCCCGCCCTCTGTCGCCCGCCCTCTGTCGCCCGCCCTCTGTCGCCCGCCCTCTGTCGCCCGCCCTCTGTCGCCCGCCCTCCGTCGCCCGCCCTCCATCGCCCACCCGCCCTCTGTCTCAGAGGCTCATGCATATGAGCACATTCGTGGCCCTGCTGAGTCTGGCCACAGTCGGCCAAGGCCAGCTAGAGACCTACCTGTACCAGACTTCTCTCTCCCCAGGACTCCTTGCTGGAGAGCATGTTTGTAGTGCCGTCCTGGGAAGTGCTGCCCTTGTACACTGAACAGGTTAAGAATAGGGAGAATGAATGGCCTTTTAATAGTTAGATCACTAATTGCAAATCAGGTGGTGATTGATTTAAAAAAGTACAAAAGTCCAAAGGTGAGCCTATTAAGTAAAGGTAACTAGTGTTAGTGCTAGTAAACTCTGAGGGTGTCTCACTTCTAACAAGGGTCCTGAATCGTGTGGAGAAGGCAAACTGTCGTCAATAAAGTTTGTTTTATAAGGCAAAGCAATATGTATTTTAGGAAGACTTGAATCAAATGCATACAGTACAGTGACTCTTAAAGGATGAAGTTGGAAAATGACATGGCTCTCTGGTAGTGCTGGCTGGCAACCCAGTTCATGGTGAAGTGGGATGCAGCACCTCCTAGCCATTCCAGGTCCTGTTGCTTTCATTAGTTCTGCAGGGAAAGAAAGGAATATAGGCAACCACATAAATGGGTCTAGAAGGTATTATGCCAAGTGCAATCAATACACCAGGAACACAGAGAAACATCAGCACCATGTGATTTCACTTCTATGTTGGAGAGAAAAAGAAAACTGAACAGAGAATAAGTAAAAACAAATGCTTAGATTTTTAAGAAAAAGTGATGAGCAGAAGTGATTAGCAAAGGGGTGTGATGATTGTTAATGATGGGGACTGGTCCTTAGTGGGAAGCAGCAGCTTTGGGCACGATACGGGTGCTCAAGTACAAAGCTGTGCACCCGAAACCTGTCTAATGTTATGAACCAGCGTCACTTCCGTTGGAAGAAGACGCATATGGGAATCTTCAGTCCCTTTCCACCAGCATCTGGAGAGGAATGAGGGGCCACTGCCCCCACGTGGCAGGAACATCCCTGGCCCATTGTCCCCTGGCTGCATATTGAGACATGTCCTTGCATTTGAGGCTGGGTGTATACTAAGCCCACCAACCAGTCAGTGGCTGGGAGCTCACTCTTCAAAACAAATTTTCCTTTTCTTTAAAAGAATATGTTAGTAGTATCTCAGACTGCAGTCTTTAAGACTAAGAGCACCTGTGTATTCTGCTTCCTTATTATTCAGGTACTCCAAAGTCCCTACACTGGTGGTAGTATTAAGAAAAAAAGGGAGTAGGAAACACAGCAGCAGAGTAAGACTGATTATTGTGCAAAGGGTCCTGCATCAACTTCATATTCAATTGAGATACAAATTGTAGCTTGTTCAGGCTCTTTGCTAGTGTTGGGAATATGCTACACAGAATGGTTTGTCCAAAATGAGTTGTTTTACGGTCTCTCAGTGTGGAAAAATAAAAGTTGCTGTTTTAGTCCAGTGTGATAAGCCCCAAGAATATTTGGCATTAAGCATTTAAAATATAGTTTTAATATTGTTATTTGCGAGAAGACTTGATAAGTATAAATTCTGGAAATGGGCCTTTATTAACGAATGAAAATTGAATCCATTCACAAAGAGATCAAAATTGGGGCATATGAATGTTATCTCACGTGATCATATCTTTATTTTCTAAAGAAAAATGTTACTGGAATAACAGAGCGTTTCAGTAATTCAGGTGTAACTGAGTGCTAGTGAGACCTTTCTGGGAGACTTAAATTCTCAGCTGTGCTTTCCGCTGTGCTGCATCTGTGAGAAACCAATTCCCTCCATTTGTGCAGTCGGCCTGCTCCCCGCGCGCCCTCCGTTGTCCTTCATAACTGCTATGGGGAGTGCCAGGCTTCTGTGCCATGCGATGATCTCTGCTTTGGTTCTTTGAAGCAGGAAGTGCAGTCTCCGCCGATGTCGCCCCTCGCCTCCCCTCCTTCCTCCCCGCTTCATTATCAGAGGGTGCCTTTGAGCCATGGCTACAGCAAGCTGCGGAGCAGCTCGGAGCAGACTCATCCAGGTGAGAGACCTTCTTGGCAGGCTGGCCCGGGCGGCGTCTCAGAGCCGGCTTCACCTGCTGCTGCGTCTCTTCACTCACTGACCTCTGGCTTTGCAAACCTGACTAAATTTTATTCTCCAAGGTTCTTTAAAAATAAAATGAAGTATATCTGATTGCCACATCTCCTGTTCGAAGAACTAGGCCATCTTTAGACTTGTCTGTGGCAATTACATGATTTAATTCTTGATATATAGAGATCATTTTATAGGGGCATGGCAGGTCAAAGGTTTAGATTTTGGAATGGTTATCCCTTTCTATTAACATACCAAACATATTTCCATAATAACTGCTTTTATGAAGCTCTTAAAAATTACAACTATGTAAAAGCAAAGAGTTGAAAGACTGATCACATACTTGAAAACATTTAGCTTTTGTGTTTGTGACTAAAAATAAGGGAATTGCCAGGGGGGAGCATTTTGAGAAATGTACAAAGTACCCAGTTGTGGGGGTGCCCGCATACTCATGTTTATGCCCTGCTGGCCATAGTTGTGGTAAAATATGTTAGCTGGTTCTGAGGATGCCTGGCGGAGCTGGCTGTTCCGGCCGTGTGCCTCCAGCCATACACTCAGCGCAGCATCTGGGCCGCCCGGGGTTCAGACTCTTAGTTTTAGATATGACCCACTAAAGTTTTTGGATCTGGATATCCATCACTCCCCACTTTAATTTTGTGGGCTGTGGCTGAAAATGACCCATTTTCTGTAGATTTTTGCTGCATTGAACGTAATGGTGACTTCTAGAGGGACGCAGAAATAAAAACGTGTGTTGGCTGGGCTGAGAGGCTGTCAGCTTGCAGAGCGCAGCAGTGGTGGTTTCATGGAAATAGCTTTTGGCTGGAATCAGAAGGTGTGGGTTTGTGTGATCAGTTCTGTGACCTTGGGCTAGCCATTTAATGTCTCTGAGCCAGGATTTCCTTTCCTCTTTTAAAATGGAGTAACAGTCCCCTAGAAGGGTGTTGTGTTGTGAGGATTAGTAAGAACATGAATGTAAAATCTGTTTGGAAATTAAGTCCTATGCAAATGCAAGATAACATTGTTAATGGATAGCTTAAAAAAAAAAAAGCACCACTCTCCTGCATCTTGAATGTTTCACTAATATCTGAAATGAGACAGGTTGAGAATTCATTTTCCTTTTAGCGTTTTCTACTGGCTGCCCTATTTTAAGAAGTGTTCCTGTTGCGGTGCTGATTACTATTGCTAGTCTGACTTGGCCTTGCAGGTTAGAGTCATCTGCCCTGCATGGTGCCTGCTTTTTGGTTTTGAATTCATAGCTGAGTCATGTTTTGTTCCACTGAGTTCACCTATCACCAAGTTCTACTCCGTCTTTTTGACAGTCCTTGAAAAACTTGCCTGTGCTTGCTCTCTGCTCCATGGCTGACTCTTTCCTCGTTCCATCCAAGGTGGACTTCCTTTCCCCCAGTGCCATGGAAACACCCACCTCGCTGATTCTTTGCAACCTGTGTTACTGTTGTCCGTGCTTTCGTTCTTTTAGATCCTTGTTTAAGAAGTGAGGTAAAATGTACATCTGATAAAATGTGGGTATTTCAAATCTTCAGTTTGAGTCTTGACAAATGTGTACACCTGTGTATCCCCCACATTGATCAGGAATAGAGCTTTCCTGTCACCCCAGAAGTGCCCCTATCCAGCTGCTCCTTGCCTCTCAGTGCAAGCACTGTTCTGGTTTTTATCACCACAGATTTGTTGTGCCTCTTCTAGAACTTTGTGTCAATGAAATCATGTATAGTGACTGGGCTCTTTATGTGTCTGCCATCTTTCCCAGAATCGTGGTTGACATTAATCCATATTGTGTGGTTTGGTAGTTTCTTTTTTATTCGCAGTCGTGATCCTTTGCATGAATGTGGCACAGTTTGATGGCCCATTCTCCTGTCAATGGACATTTGGGTTCTTTCCAGTGTTTGGTGGTTATGAATAAGGACACTATGAATGCTTGTGTAGGAGTCTTTATGTGACCTGTGCGGTCATTTTCCTGGCACCTAGGAGTGGAAGAGCTGGGTCTTAGGGTAGGTGTGTAAGGAACTGCCAAGTGTTTGACAAAGGTGGCTCTGTGCTCCCACTGGCAGTGTTAGAGTTGCCTCGCTTCTTGCCAGCATGTGGTGCTCTCAGGGCTTTCTTTTCCTGTGGTGTTTTATTTAGTGTTTGCCTTTCTAGTCCATGTGCAGTGACATCTCCTGTGGTTGTCACCCTTTCATCCTTGAAACATTGTTTTCTGAGTTTCTGCTACTCCTTCCTGGTCTCCCTCAGGCTCCATCATCCTTTAGGTTCTCCTTTGCATAGCTGGCTCGTGGAGGGAGTCTGGCTGGATAGTCTCCTGCCACTCTGAGTGTTGTGCTGCTAACTGTCAGATTGCTAAGTCCCTGTACCTTGGAATTTATTTATCATAGATAAAATGCTTACAGCTATTTTCACTTAGACTTCACCATCTAAGCACAGGAAGGGTAAGTTTTCCTATTTGTTTCTAGAGACCATCTTGTGATTTTTTGGCTTTCTCATCAATATTATTCAAGGCTTGTTTATTCATATTTTTATATTATCTGTGTATTTCTTCCCAGAACACTTTCTGAGCCTGTCCGCTTCCTTTTTTTAGGCCAAGAAGTAAGGGGAGGCCATGTTTCCATTCTCTCTCTCCCTAGGTTTTTAGAAGTCAGTTGTTCTTGAGACTTCTGTTTCCCCATGTTCTTAACTTCCTTCTCTTGCCCTCACGGTGCCATTGACCCATTTGATGAACCCAGGAGTCCCTGATTTCTATCTTCTTCTGATCTACATAGGTTTGTTTTTTTTTAACAGTATATATATATATATATATATATATTTTTTTTTTTTTTTAAGATTTATTTATTTGTACATACAGAACTGGGGTACAGGCCAGAGACTCAGGGGTGGCGAGAGGCTTCACCATATACAGGGTGGGGAGCAGAACAGGCAGATCGATGAAGTACACTGCTGAGGGGAGTATCAGGCGGGTCAGGAGAGGTCTGCCGAGCCATGTGGTCACCTCCAGGGCAGGCGGGAATCGAACTCATGTGGAAGTGGCTTTAGCTTCTCAGTGCAGTGCTTTAACCCGCTGCGCCACCAGGGAGGGCCTCTACATAGGTTTTTAAGCAAATCTAAAACCTATTAAAATATAGTGACTCAGATACTAAGCACTTTAGAGTTATTTTTTGGTAAAGATCTATTTATTTATGCATACAAAACTGGGGTACAGGCCAGACGTGTGGGGGGTGAGAGGCTTCACCCGAGACAGAGTGGGGAGTAGAATAGGCATATTGATGAAGTACACTGCTGAGGGGAGCAGTGGGAGGTCAGGAGAGGTCTGGCAGCCATGTGGGTCACCTCTGGGGCAGGGATCGAACTCATACTGAGTGGATTTAGCTTCTTAGTGCTGTGCTTTAGCTGCGCCACCAGGGAGGGCCCATAGAGTTATTTATTAATTTTTTTATTACAAAAGTTTATTTTTACCATAGAGTTATTTTTAATTTATGCCTTTTCAGAAAGGAGTTTTGTTGCTGGGATAGTCTTCCAGGGATACATTTTTTCCTGGCATCATTTCCCTGTCCACGATTCTGCACAATTCCTGGCTAGCCTCCTGACTAGCGGGCCATATCTGAGTATGTTTTCAATCAGACGGAGCCTCTTCAGACCAGTCTGACTAAGAGCCCTCTTCACTTCCTCTCCTGGGCTCCTGCTGTTCTCGCTGCCAGGTGTTTCTGTAGCTGATGTTCACTGGGGAGCCTGAGGGGCCAGCCTCCATGCTGAAGAGCCTGTGCTGTGTGTGTTACTCTGACCACAGCCCTCAGAGACAGATACTGCTATCCATGTTAAAAAATGTTTAAAGCACAGTAACACAGGCATGTAGTTAAATCGTGCTTAAATCCTCATAGTAAAAGCAGCCATTCTCCTTCCTAGCCAGCCTGTCTTTTTTTCCAGACACAGTTGCTTTCAACTTTTACCTAATGTGTTATCTGAAAATCAGCCTGCTTGTTCTGCTTTTCATTATCATATCTTATTCTGATGTTCAGTAAAAGACATGGGCTGTGATGGCAGTTTTTTGGGCCTGAGAGTAGACTTGGTGGGTTCATGTTTCTTATTTCTGCCCACTTGGAGCCTATGTGGTTATGGGCGTTTCACTTGTCTGAGCCCCAAACTCCCTAATTGTAAGACGGCCTGATCTTTGACTCAGGTTTGCGTGGCAGGTCTCGTGAGAGGCGTTCGTGTACATGTGCGTGTCTAGTGCAACTCCTGCTCGACCTAGACCATCAAATGGGACCTTGTGTTTATGTTGTGTTTTTAGATTCTGGCACCTGTTTTCTTTTTGTAGTTCTTAAATATTCTTGGAGTCGGCCCTCCCTGTGGCGCAGCGGGTTAAAGCACTGCACTGAGAAGCTAAAGCCACTTCCGAAGCATGTGTTTGATCCCCGCCTGCCCCGGAGGTGACCACATGGCGCGGCAGACCTCTCCTGACCCGCCCGCTGCTCCCCTTGGCAGTGTACTTCATCTATCTGCCTGTTCTGCTCCCCACCCTGTCTCTGGTGAAGCCTCTCACCGCTCCTGAGTTCTCTGGCCTGTACCCCAGTTCTGTATGTACAAATAAATAAATCTTTAAAAAAAATATATTCTTGGAGTCGCCTTCTGGGTAGTACTCATCGGGCTGGCTGCAGGCGTAGTCCTTGCTGTGCAGTTTGACTTGTGTTCTTTGTTCTGGCTTAATGCTGACCGTCCAGAATGAAGGAACCTTGGAGTTTGTTTTACACTCCTTCCCTTGGAGAAAGAAGGTACTTCGAGTTCCCTAAACTTCTTGTAAGGAAATGTAACAATGATTTTGCATCCAGTTGCATGTTTTGGCTTTTATTTGGAGGAAGGAGAGTGGACGCACTGGGTAGCACCTGCCTTTTGGCCTCTTGCATTCAGATGCAATTCAGGAGTGAGGTGGGAGTCAGGCTGGGCACTTACAGAGTGGACAGAGCTCACCCGCTGGGCACAGGCACCCACCTCTCCAGTCAGGCAGCTGTGGCCAGCTGAGCTTTCCACAGGAGTAGGGCGAGAACATCTGCTCCTGAGGCCAAGCCCCGCAGTGTAGTCTTTGTCCAAGTGTTCCTGAGGAGATGGTCTGTCTTCCCGGGTAAGGCCCTTGTTGCTGCAACCAGAGGCCAGATGGCCTCCCCTCACACCATCCCTTCTGGGCACTAGAAGCTTCTCTCTCTGGAGGGAGCAGTAGCACGTGGGCTGAGCTTCCCAAGGAAAGCTCACAAGGCTAGTATCCCAACCCTGGCAGGCTCTCTGTCGTTAAAAGCTTGTGGCCCAAGGAGTGTCATTCAGCACTCCAACATGGAGGGTTGTAAACCGTCCTCCAGAGACATGCTTGCCTGCCGTGTGCTTCTGTGTGTGGTTTTCTTGTAGATTCTGAACCTCATTTAATGGTTTGCCAGCAATGCTTTTGAGAGATTTTAATGTGTTATAATGTTGTGTTCCATTTTTCTTGAAGGAAGTGAAAAAGGCAGATGTGAGCCAAAGAATGGTCTGTAGTCCTTGATGCGTGTTGTCCCTTCTTTACCTCGGAAAGGCCAAGCTGCCCTCAAGGTGGGCAAGCCTGTGACAGGCTGCTCTGCTCCTTCTAACCAAGTTTATTTCTAAGGAAGCTACAGAAAGAAAGCATTTTGCTTATTTCTATACTTTCAGAAACTTGAAATGTTAATCCACAGAGATCAGAAGTGGTTTCAACATGGGCGATAATTTCTCTTTTCTGTTGGGACTCAATACTACCTGGTTATGTTGAACTGTTTTTCTGTCATTTCGGCAAGGTCATTATTAAGCGTTTCTGGAAATAAAAGGAATGAAAAGATGCACTTGTTTTTGTGGCTAAAAGCTTTTTAAAAAGGGAGCAAAATTATTTTTTTTTTATTTTGGTTATTGAATAATGAAATAATATGAAATGCATTTTTGTATTTTTCTTGGCCTTACATTCTTTCGGTTAAAGGAAGAAGGCAGATAGTGCCATTCATTTTTCCCAAAATAAATTGTAATGTTGATTCTCAGTGTTCAAAATGCCTGTTGGTTTTCTTTTGGAGGGGTGAGGTGGATGGTGAATGGAAGACTTCTAAGCAGGAGGGTACATAGAGAACTAACCTTATATTTGGAATTCAAGCACTTACAACATTGCACATATTCTAATGGTGTAACATGGTTTATTTTCTATCACAATTTAGGTTCTTACCATTCCACCCATATAGTTTATTCTTAGTCTTAATCTGCCTTATTAAGTATTGGTTGAAAGTCTCTGAATGGCTTATTGAAATTGTGCCCAGGAGTGTGAAGGTCAGTTTGTTCTAGATGACCCTTAGGGACATGCAGCCCAATTCCATCAGTTGTTCCTTCTGGAGAGCAGACTTTGCATTAGTTGTGTGTGAAGTCAGAATTGTGGCGTAGACTTTTGATGTTCTATCTATGCTGACTTTCCCTCTTACTCTTTCAGCTCCTTATGAAGCTCGACAGTCCCTTGTTCAGCCTGAGGGGCCCTCACCTGTGGGCCCAGGAACCAAACCTCCTCGGCACCAGGCATCCCTTATCCAGGTAAGTGATTCTGGGGGTTATGCTGGTGGAAGAGTGGAGATAAGCTTGACCCCTGGATGCAGCTTTTATAATGGGCTCTCTCTCTTTTATTTTTTAATGCAAAGAAGATATAAAACTACCTTCAAATACAAATATTGTATTTCTCGTTATGTTGTTTGTTTTATTTCCCCCCAAATCATCTGTTGCACGTGTTTCTACCCCTTCTCAGTGTCTAGACGAATCCAGACTGGTAGTTGGCCTTTGGTATGCCTAATGTCCTTGTGCCCTCATTTACTCAATCATTAGGCACCTCCTGCAGGAGAACTTTACTTTTCCAAAATAGCCTATCTCCCTCTGCCTTATTTATCATTATCCAGTCAGTGTGTAATTGCAATCTGTTTCCCATTTATTTCATGTCTCCAGTTACATGGGAGGCTTTTGGAAGCCAGAGGTAGTTCTTCTGTATTCTTTCTCAGTGCCTCTTCCAGTGCTGTCTGGAGAGTGGTTATTTTTCCAGGGGCAGCAACTACTGTTTTCTGTTGGTGCTTGATAATGAAAGAAATGTTAAAGCAAAGCACAGGTGATATCTCAGTTCCTCCTGAATGTACCACAGCCTAGAAAAGTTTCCTTTCTCCAGCGTTTTCCTTTGGATAAAGAACACCTGTTACCTTGTAGCATCTCTGAGTCCCATACTGAGGAAGTCATACTCTCAAAGAAGGGTATGTGTGTGCACACGTGTCTGCGTGACATGAAAAACTTTCTGACCCTGCAGATAAAAGGAAGTAGAGTGGTTTGCATAACATTTCAGTTATCCAACATAGGAGGAAGGATCATTTATTCGCAGGCAGTTCTCCTAGAAATAGCAGGTGGTGCCAGACAGCCCCATAAAGAAGCAGGCTGGAAGTCTGGAGCAGAATAAACAAAAGCCAAGGCAGATTGTGGAGTTTGCTGAGTTCCCTCCGGGAATGTGTGAGGCAAGGAAGAGAACTTAGTTCTTCAAGGTGCTACTCTGTGCAAAGAACTCTATTAACGATAATAACTTAGCCATAGGTGTGCTGTATTTGTATTCGATGTTTTCTACAATTGTGAGAGTCTGTTAGACCTGTTAGTAGAGATGAACTGACTGAGAGAGGTCAAACAGTGGGTCTGAGGTTTCATTCATAGCAATGAAGTGGAAGAGCCAGAATATGAATGTGGGCCATCCAGTGCCAGTGTATAATATTGCTATACCATGTTTTAATAAGAAACTTCAATGTAGTTTCTGCCATGTTGGTATAGTAAAAAAAAAGTTCTTGAAAAGTCACCGTATTGAAGAGCCAGATGCCATTCTCTCTTAGGTTTAGTAGAGCTCAGTTTTACCCCCAAGTTGGAACAGATAGCTGTTTCTTCAGCTGAGCCCCAGATGTAGTAGTTGGCTGTATTGAGGGGTCCTGCGGTACAAAAATATGTCTTTAAACGTGAGTCTCATACCCGCTGTGGAGTAATGATTACATTAAGAAAGGTGTCGGCGAGACTGGGGCCACCTGAAGAACCTCTGGGCCTTGGCAGTGTGTGTTTCTGCAGTTTATTCAGGTGCCGTAGAAGCCAAGTCCTGAATGGCTAGAATGGTCAAGCCAACTGCGAACCATGCTTGGATGGGGCTCCCTCCGCCCACCTTTCTTTCTACCCAGCCCCTGGATGGCATGCCCATGGGTCTTCACATGGATTGACATCCTGTGATTTCTCTAATCTAGGTCCCCTTTTCTGCAGATGAACGTGCTTCTTGGACAGTTCCCTCAATTAATATTTAGTGAACACCTACTAAGTGTCTGGTACTGTTTTGAGAGTGCAGAAATGAGATACAACCTTCCCGGTCCCTGCCGTCACAGAACTTCCACACTGTTGGAGGAGATAATCATTAATCAACCCATTACAAAGTAAATATGTAACTGCGATTTGTGATGTGAATAGAAATAGCACTGGGCTTTGAGGTTGGAAAAGGCTGTGTGTGTTGTGACCTGGTCTTGGCAGGCAAGGTTGATCAAGGCAGGCTTCTAGTGGGGAATAACATTTGCTTGAGATGAGAAAGTGTTAGCCAGGTGACGGGAAGGGGTGTGGGGCCAGTAGGTGGAGGGAACCGGACATGCAAAGACCTTTTCTGTGCCCTTAGCACTTACAAACATCATCTCTTTTCATGGTCGTAGCTATCTTAGGAGGTGATTTCTGTTTATCCCATTTTATAGATGACAAGACCTCAGTTTGACAGCAATCAAAGAAGCAAAACTCAGGCCATTCACAGCAACATGGATGGAGCTGGAAGGGATTATACTCAGTGAAATAATCCAGAAAAAAGAGAAAAAGATCAGATGGTTTCACTTATAAGAGGGCTATGGGGAAACAAATAAGGGACCAGGGAGGAAAAAAGGTAATCATAATAAATTAAAAATCAAAATCAATAGGCAACTATAAATCAGAGAGATTCTGCAGGTGAGGAGGAAGGAGAAAGCTCAAAATAGGGACAGGAAGAGCACAGAGGACTGTGGTGATGGTACAGGGTGCATGGGTGCTGGGTGCTGGGTGCTGGGAGTTCTGTGGGAGAGGAGAAGAGAGAGCAAGCACTGCAAGAATGAATGTAATATATATGTATAATTAAAAAAGTTACAAGCCAAACAAACCTGAGTTTTAAAGACCTTATTTCATTTGCCCAAGGTCACAGTGGGTGAGTGGTAGGAGTGGAGTTCAAACACAGCTCACGTTTCCTTGGTCTCTGGCTCAGGGACTGGAAGGATCTTGGGACCAGTGCTAAAGCTAGGAAGCCCTGGATGACACAGTGGACATTGTATTTGGGAATGGTCATGAATTCATTGATTGAGCTTTTGCAGTAACCAGCGGGAGGTGTCCAAGAGCTAGGGAGTCTGGAGAGCCGGGACTGGGCAGAGCTATTTCTTTGGTAGTGGCTGGCTGAGTCAAAGGTCTGAAGCTACACTGCAGAGCACACCAGATAGATTTTCACCCAGGTCCAACCAAACTCTGTATGAACTTGGGCAGGTTCCTTCTTTTATTCTGTAACACGAACAACTTGGAATGGCTCCAGCAGCCCTTTGTAATAATCTGCAACTGTGTGATTCTCCCCATGTTTGGCACGGGTGGAGGCCCCTCTGCTTGGAGCATTGCCTTCTGTTGAGGATGAGTGCAAGGAACCTTTCTCGGGATTGCAGTCTGTGGTTTTCATGGCTGATGTGTTTTTCTTTCTCAGTTCTTAGGTTTCTTTTTTATGCCTGTCAGCTTGGTTTGGCTGGACTCCATGTCCCAGAAAGCCAAGTGCCAACCTGCGTTAGTCATGTAGATGAGGGGAGCTGAAGTGCAGGTTCTTGGTGATAGGGGATTCGTGAATGGTGCAGCTAGGAAGCCGGGGTCACTCACTGCCCTCCCTTTGCCATGTGGACGGGCTGGTGGCTGCCTCCCCTTCCTGCCTGCTTGGAGGGGATGTGGCCCTAGGCTCCAGGGCACATTTTTAGGGACCACAGGCCAAATCTTAGAGCTATTGGGTGTGGCATTTTAGATGTTCTGATGCCGGCTTCAGCACCGCAACATTGGAATGAGTTGTCTTTTTTGCTTAGTATTTTAGGAATTTCAATTGTTTTTTTCCCCCAGATGTTGGTTTTTTTTTCCCCCTGGAAATTTCCAGTACAGAGCGTAACTTATGTTGGTGGGTGGTTAGTAAGGAGAGAAGTCTTCTTTCCTGCTTCACCATGTTATTATGTGTTTATAGGTCGTTTTATGGTTTCCTTTTTCTCCAAGTTATCCTAACCATCCAGACAATGTAGTTACTTGTAATTTTGCTGGCCTCGTACTCATGATCACCCCTTCTGCTCCCAGTCTCCCCACTGCCTCCCCTTATGCTTTACTTGCCAAAAACTACCCTGTGTTCAGTCCTTTTCTCATTGACCTCTTGGGAGCTTTTTAGTGCTGACCACCTTCTTAAAATGATCTCTTTAGTTGGTGTCTGTGATGCCATTCTCTCCTGGTTTCCCCGCCTCTGTGAGTACCCCTCCTAATCTGCTTCTGTTCTCTTTCCCCTCACTTGTCCTTTAATGTTGGTGACCCTGGGCCTACTTGTTAGCCACGGGAGGCTGAAGACCACATCTCTTCATCGGTCAGGCTTAACATGTCTATTCCACAAAGCCTTTTTCCCTCTGCATTGCTGGCTCCAGCTTGCCATTGGTGTGGTCAGAATGTGGGCTGTTGTCTGGCTCTGCCCTCCTTGCATGTGCCCACTAGGTTACCAGATCCTGGCCCTAGCACTTCCTGATGCTTCTCTGGGCTGTGCCTGCCTCTTTTTACGCCGTTCTCTGTCTCCAGACCTGTTACATCAGCATCTCACTCTCCTTTCCTGCTTCTGCTCTTGCCATCTCCAAGTCCTTTGCCATATTGCAGATGAAAACAGTCTTAGGAACACAGACGGGTCACCCTGCTCACTTGCTTGGAGCCTGTCACTCTGCCCTCTGCTCTTGGCCTGTCATCCAAGTGCTGGGACATGGCCTGGGGCCCTGATGTTTGCTGCCTGCCCACCGCTTCTTCACAGCAGCCTGCTGCCCCTGGCTCTCCACATTTGGGCCACACAGAGCTCCTGGCCCACCCCCATCTGGTCAGCCTTAGGGTTCATTCTCACTTCTGTTTCAATTCATGTGTGCCTCCCCCCCCCCACAATGATTATGTGAGGTGTGAGAATTTTCTAATATTTCTTGTACATGTGATGTTTCCAGTTTTTCATTCTTAAAAAACAGTTCATTGTTTGTCTGCTCATTTATCTGTGACACATAGCCCAGGGTCAGCAGTTCCATTTTAGTTGGTTTTTTCATTTCAGAAACAACCAGTGTTGTATTTTGTATTGTATTCCTATATAAACAAATACAGATATTCTTACATATGTAATGCATGTAGTATATTTTTATCTGACTTGAGGGAGACAGGCTTGGCTAGTGAAATAACCTTTTTAACTGATTTCACGGGGAAAAAACCCTTTTATTTTAAAGCAAAAC